TCAGCTCTAACAATAAAGACTCTGCCCTTCACCACCTCTGTGCTCGATGTAACATTTACATTTAACTTTGGAGGAAACAAAATGGCAACTCCTGCACTTAAATTTGTCCCATGGCTAAGGACATGCTGCCCTCCCCACCATAAGCCCCAATCTATTTCATTTGTGCTATCACTGTGTGTTTCCTGTAAGAAAACTACATCTAGTCTTTTCTGTGTGATTACTTCTGTTATTAAAGGTCTCTTTTTTCCATCCCTACCCCCACTTATGTTTAACGAGGCCACCCTTAGACCTTGCATGTAAGGAGAAGAGAGACAGGCTAACAGGGAAACCCAGCAGAGATGAAACACCCAGTGTTGTATGATCATACTACTTTAATTTGAAAGTATCATTTTCTTTGACATTTTATTCTTTGTCGTTTTAAGAGTTTTCCTCAGAACGTTTCTTGCTATCCAGTAAATTGAGCCCAACAACTCTCTGCAGTGTGGTGACTTATCCACATCAGGAAAATATTCTTTGACATTTGCTTTTTTTACCCCAAAAAGTGTCATCCAGGAAGCCATTAATCTCCTCCAGAGAATACAAGTCAATACTCTGAGAGTACCTGTCTGCTATAGAGAAGCTATCAGAGTCAGATTCAAGATTCACAGTCCATGTCACCATGGCCACGAGCAGCCTTCACCTGATCATCCGCCTCACTATCTGGGCTGACCTGCAGCAGCTCTACATCCTGCACAGAAACACATTCTGCATCCTGCTCTGGCCTCCCCAGGTCATCCTCCCTCTGCCCCTACCGCTTTATTCATGCGTGAGGCACACAGATGTTTCCATGCACCACCTGCTCTCCTACCGCCAGCAGCACCTGCTCCACCGTGGTGCTGGGCTGCGGCACCACCCTCACCCCCATGCTTCAGAGACAGGGACGACGTCTCTGAGGACCCCATCCCCGTCAAGAAACACGGCCCCCCAAACCACCCAAACACACAGCAACATACAGTGACAATAAACGCAAACAATGATCAAACAATCATACAGTAAACAACAAAAGAAGTTTGAAATCACTCAGAAACTCTCAGCCACACTCACCACGCTCTCCACCACCAAACTCCCACCATGCACTCAGAGAGAGAGAGATCAGCGCCGGTTTCTATGTTATACAACCTGGACTTATATATCTCTGGGAGTTGTATAATCTTGTTATTATTTCTGGTTGTGGCATCACACTGAGGGTCAGTTCAAAACAGTTTGTTCAAATAGTGAGATTTCATCTTATTAAAAAGTTGTTGAAACAGTGTGAAGCTCCAGAGGCATGCTTCATCAGCTGTTAAAGGATAATTTCAGTATTTTTATACCCATTTTCACATATTTTAGTGTTTAATTACTAGTAGGTAAAAAAAAGTTTTGAAATCTGTGCCATAGACGGTTTCAGCCAGCAGCTGAACCGGCTGCAGTGGCTGCAACATATTCCTTCGGGACAACTGCAGCCATCAAATATACATGCACAAAAAGTGCTTTTTTTGGCCACCAGCAGGCTTGGACTGTTATAACAGGTGTCTGCCCACCATCATGCAAAGGATCCCTATGAGGGACTCCTGGCAACACTGTTTTTAACCCGAAGTCTCACTCAAGGACATTTCTCGCTCTGAAATCTCATGAGAGGCGAGTTGTTGCAGGACGGTAACGGTACTGTAAAAATATATTATATTAAATACTGTAATTTTTCTTATTGTAAAATTGGATTTGAAAAACAAAAACATGTTTAAATTATGGATGCACCAATACAACTTTTTTATTATTTGTTGAAGATTTTTTGGGTGCCTTTTCGCCTTTATTTGGATAGAAGTTTGAAAAGAGAGAGATAGAGGGGAAGACATGCAAAGAGCCCCAGGTGCATCCCTATTGAATACCAGTGCTTTATTTTTCCATATTTAAAATATCTATGCCTAACCATGTTTGATAACAGATAGGGAAAGCATTGACCTTCACGACACTGACAAATTAACAGTATTTCATTTAAATTGGCAGTGCATTCATAATTTAAACATTTGATTTGGTTTAACTTACTTAAGAAATGCTTAAGGAATTTTGTATTACAAAGACACTAAAAATTAAGTATAATGTAGGCCTATTGCTACTTGTTTGTGTAAATCCGTCCCGTCAATGTTGCGATCGCAAGTATTAACACAAATTCAAGAAATCACCATGAATTCAGCGTGATTTGTGCAATATTGAGTCATCGCAACTTTTCCGCACATTTGACCTCTCATCACCATTTCCCGCAAACGTACGTCATATGTCAGCAATCTCACTTCCTTGTTTACAAAATGCAGCAAACATGTGTGAGACCAACGTCTCACATTTGCAGACAAAACAGTATCCGGATCTTCTTTACCAAAGCGGGGGTAAGCCGTTTTACAAAACGTGCGGTATTGTGGTCAAACATAAAAGGAAATTGTCTATTGAACACTTTGCCGCCGCAAAACATGAAGAAGAATGGGAGAATGGCAGAAACGCGTGGAGGATATCAGAGGAGACAAATCCCCGTGACACAGGCTGTTGCATCGGCCGGTCAATTGCAAGCCCTGAAATAATCAAGGTAAACTGGTAACTTTAAATAGTTATGCAGGATTAGGATTAGTTTGTCCAGTAGAGATGGAGAAGAATTTTTCTTCCCTTCTTATCATCAGTAAATCACTGTACAGGTGCACTATTAAAAGAACCGCCATGCAAAGTTTGACCACATCCTTTTAACATAATGTTCTGATTATAATAACACATGCAGCGTGCACTTGTGATGTCTTATGAGCACAACTTTGATACATCTTTTACCACAAATAACATGATTCATCCAACCAGGCGTTCTCTAGTTGGTGACAAATAGCTGATCAAAGCTGATATTTCCACGTTTCAATGAGACATTACAGTGAAGAATGATTAATCACCAGCAACAAGGGAAAACTACAGTATTTTGGTAAAAACCATCACGTCATGAGTCACTCAACAGTTGTTCTTTCTGTCCAGATTGTTCTCCCACAGCTTCGGTTTATGTGCAAGTACCTCCCACTCGTTTCTCTTGTACTACTTATAAGCCTCTCTTACCCTCTTCTCATCGCAACCACCTCCTCTTATTTGACCTCCTTTCTCCCACGTTTGTACCTCCTCCACTGCTTGTCCTCACCTTTGTCCTCCTTCCCATCACTCCAACCAATTCTCTCCTCTACTGAATAAGTTCCTCTTTACCCAGGTTTTCATTTCCTCTATTTCTCTCCTTCCTCTCCTTTTTCTCTCTCCTGCCATGAACTCCACATCCACTTGCCCTTTACTTCCCTCCCATCTCTTTCCCTACCTCCTTTTATCTTCCCTGAGGTTGTTCTACAAGCAACGAGTTGGAGTCACTGAGCATGTGGTGGCCATCTGTACTTTGACTTACATAACTACACACGTACATGTACACGAACAAACAGAACAGACAGAACAGTCACGTTTCCCCTAAGTATGAACAGGGGTGTGTGGATATGATTGCGTAATGAGTGACTGAATAATAATCTTTTTTTGTAGAGCACTTTTCAAAAACAAGTTACAAAGTGCTTTACAAGTGTCAAGACAATAATAAATGCAAGAAAACCCTGAAAAGACTAAAATACACGTTTAAGATAAATATAAAAATAGAATAAAATAAAAGGGATAAAATAAAGTCAAATAAGATCGGGAAAGGCTCTCCCATAAAAGTGTGTTTTAAGAAGGGACTTAAAAGAGTTCACTGACTCAGCCGACCTGATTTCCTCGGGCAGGCTGTCCAGAGCCTCGGGGCCCTGACAGCAAACGCTCTGTCCCCTTTAGTTTTCAGTCGAGACTCTGGAACAGACAACAGACCTCTGCCCGAGGATCTCAAGGTACGTGCTGGTGCGTATGGGACTAAAAGGTCATAAACATAACAAGGCGAGAGGCCATGAAGAGCTTTAAAAGTGATCAATAAAATTTTAAAGTGAATTCTAAAACATACTGGGAGCCAGTGTAATGAAGCTAAAATAGGGTAATGTGGTCATATTTCTTTGTTCTGGTGAAAAGCCTGGCAGCTGAGTTCTGGACAGTCTGGAGTCGATCAATAGATTTTTGGGTTAAACAGGTGAAAAGGCTATTGCAATAATCCAGGCGTGATGAGATGATGGTGTGTAAAATGGTTTCGGTGTCCTTAAAAGTTAACATAGATCAAATTTTTGCTATATTTCTAAGTTGATAAAAACATGATTGAACAAGCTTTGTGGTGTGCTGCTCGAAATTTAAATTACTATCAAACCTACTATCTCTATATTGGAGAGATTCTGAATGTGCAGAAAATTTTGAACATGAGCAGAAAACCTGTTGAAACACAGGAGCTATTAAAGTCCAGGAATTTATAACTTAGATTAAAGTTAACTTATTTGAGGTGAAAAGGCGCCACATGCACATCACCAAACAAAAGACACAAAAGAGGGGGGAAGAGTTGATCTACAGGAGAAACATAGGATATTTAAAGGTAATAGCTACAGAATGCCCGAAAGCCTAATATCATATTCTATTCATCTTTTATTTAATAATTTATTTTGAAATTGTGCTAAAATTGTGAGTTTGGCTGCTGAACATTTTAAACAATTCCTGTGGATAGAGGAGTGATGACTCCAAGGATTTCAGGATTGGGCATGATGGTGAGGGTGCCAATTTAAAATCTCGCCTAGGGCTCCAACATTGTCAGGGCCATCCCTGCTCTGGTGCATAATTAGGAGCCCATCTGTTTTGTCTCCTCATTTCTTTTTTTTTTTTCTATTAGTGGTTTCTGAGTGGTGCTTATTGCAAGAGGACTTCACACTGTGCTGATCGGTCTCTTCTTGCAGGAGGAAAACTATGTTGTGGGTGTGGTCATACAGTTTGAAAATCATATCAAACAAATTTGGGAATTTTTAGGTTAAAATAAGTCAGTCAGGATGACAATAAGTGTGTGTGTGTGTGTGTGTGCGCACGTGTACCTGATCTGTTGTTGTGACATTGTGCTGTAGTGCAGGTTGAGTCTGGTGATGTGCCCGTCTCTTAGTTCCTGGATAGATGCCTTTTCTCCAGAGGTCTGCTGCAGCTCTGGATCCACAGTCTGGACCAGCTCCCTGTCCTCAGATGGCAGCCACAGCACCTTCACATTTAAAAAAAATCCACACACATCCACAAAATATGTTGTTACCACTTATAATAATCAACTTTATTTGTCACATACACAGTACAACGCAGGTGAAATTTGAAACACTGGCAACAATCGATAACTGAAAGAGGAAAAACTACTAAATTCGAAAAAAACTGACCAAAACTGGCCAAAAGGAAACTTTGCTGTTGTCAGGTTTGCCATACTCATCAGCCAAAGATCCAGATATTTTTGTTTTTCCAACAGAGTTAGACATCTTGTCTCTTGTGAATTGCGTCACGTCAGTTTGAGGAGTTGGAACCTCCCAATTAAACTTTCATATCAATAAATTAAGGTGATCAACGTTATACGTTTGAACCAAGAAGTCTGTAGGTATTTGGAATAAGACAGATTATAAAGTCTGCCAAATTTAGTCACTTCAGTGCCCCAGATACATATTTAATCAACACATGCATATTCTGTTGCTATTAAAATATAAGTAAGATCAAACTTAGTATCAGCAGATAGCCAATATTAAAAGGACTCTGATTTGATATGAAAAAATAACTTAATCTGGACATCTCTAATTAAAATACATGCTATGGATATGTTTGTAGAGCCACTGTAGCCAGAGTTTATTACTGATCTTCTAAGTCATGGAACGAACAAACCCACCAATTTTATGTCAGATTTCAACTGAACTGCAGAATTAAAAATACATCCACTCTTTAGCCGGCAGATACCTGTGAGGAGTTGATGTGGGCCTGCACCACCTGCAGGGTGGTGTTGATGTATGACTGACTGTAGGGATGTCCGTGCGGTGGCCTACGCAGGTCAAACAGCACTAGTCTGTTGCTACGGGCCGCTACCTCCAGGAACTGGGCCAGTGAGGGAACAGACTGGTTCTGGACCTGGGAGAAGTCCGCCTCAGACATGGACGACACAGTACCAAATGGATCCCTCTGTAAGACAGTGTGTGTGTGTGTAGCAGAGTGACATTGAAAAAAAGGGTTGCTTAGCCATTGGATTCATGGAAAATGGGAAAAATGTAGATGTGTTTATTTTGATTATTTAAAAAAAGAAGAATTAATAGAGTTTTTTATTTTTAAATCTAGTTAATTAACGTGCAGTGGTATCAAGTTTAATAAAAACTATGGTTATTATGGTTATTTTTTTTTGGTTTTTGACCCCATTGGTCTCGTCACTGTCTATTACCCGATATAATTTTGAGCAATATGCTCATCATAAGAGGCCTACAGTAGTTTAATGGTTAACTCGGACCTGGTCAGTGTCCTCTTGCAGCAGGAGATGCAACATGTAGTTGCACTATTTTCTAGTTAAATAACTGAGCCAAACTTTCAGAAAGGGTGTGGCTCTTTGTCTAATTAATTTTTTTTATAAATCTGGACTTTCTTCTCTCAATGTTCAGTAAAAGATTCAACCTCTCTTGGTTTTATAAAATAAAAGACATCAACCTAATGATAAGGGAAATTTGCATAGCTGCTGTGAAGATGACATTTGGAGATGGTGTTTTATCAAGCAACAGTGTCTGAATTTCACACTTCAGCAGTAGTGCTTTTGAGGAAACCAAACCACATTACTATACTATAAATATACTATAAATTGTGTTTGTGTGTTAGTCTCACCGATAAGAACCAGTCACCAGCATTCAGTTGCTGTAGCTCAGCCCAGGTGAACATGGAGGCATCGAGGTGTGTTCGATTTGGGAAAACATCAGCGACGTTAGTGGTTCTCCTCAGAGTGGAGTCATGCATCAGGAAGGGAACACCATCATAACTACAGAGGATTAGTGGGAGTATTAAAAAAAAGAGTGACAAAGTGAAGATCAGGATGTAAACAAGGAAAAGTGAAGACCACAAAAATGAGACGCAAGTGAGTATGAACGAAAGAGGAGAGCAGGGAGGTTGGAATGAAAAAGGAAAGGAAATGAGGAGATGAGAGTGAAGAGAGGATGATTAAATTCATCAAAAAACATTTAATCCTCCTAAAAACTGTTCTCTGCTGAAAACACCTGCAATTAAATTAAGTTTGGCTTTTGACTAAGCCATCTGTCTTTCGTGAACACATAAACAACTCAGTGAGCCTGATATCAGTTATGTACAATGTCCAATAATACACACAGACACACACACTAATAGACTGCCTCACAAAACCCTTGACAGTTTAATTACACAGAAACTGCCAAGTAGACACAATAATTCATGCAGACCATACACACACACACACACACACACACACACACACACAGGGAACTACCACACACAGGGGTCACCAGCAGCATGGTATTAAGCTAACCCGCTAAGGCTGAGTCATGCCATGTTGCTAATCTCCCTGTTTTCAGGCTGTAAAATTGTGTGTAACCCACCAGCCGTGGGCTAATGGCAGGGCTAACGGCTAACTGGATTAGCATGGCAGTAATCACCTTAGCGCTGAGGGTAGCACGCTAGCATCTGATCTGTACAATTAGCATGAAGGCACAGACTCAGTCAGCATCAGTTCACTGCCGCCAGGCTGCTGTGCCGCTAATTTTACCAGCAAGGAAACATTTTGTGTTATTAAACGCCGTTAATAATTACATTGATGATTGGGTCCCCTTGAAATAATTGTGAAGATACATTTTAACAATTTGTTCGTTTAATCAGGCACCCGCTAATCAAGGGACATTAATAATAATAATAATAGTGATTTAAACTCCTGTAATCCCAGTTTGGCTGTTTTATTAAAGCTTTTCCTGCTATTAGCGGTTTGGCTTTTAAGACGCATGTTGCTAAATAAGGACAGTAAATATATTTCATGATTTTTAGCATAAAAGTGATATTAAAAGTATGTAAGAGTGTTGTATGAAAGTGTAATGCTATCAGTGTCAAAGAATAAGAGAGAGGATCCACTCAGTTATGTACTTTCTACTTAAACAGATGACAAACCACTTCTTCATGTCGGGTGCTTGTTTATATATACACACACAACAGGAAGCGATTATGCGAGCATGTTTTCTTGAAAGAGACTGATCCTCGCCGTCTGTGACTTCCCTGTAATATATAACTGTTCACTGAACTGTTATCGGGACATTAACAGGAGGGTGTTTGCATGACTAAATTTATATATAATATGAATAATCAATTAACAAATTCTATCAATTAACGTTACTTATAGTTTTACTTTAAGCTAGGCTATGAAGGAATACAGTAGCGCACAGAAGCCGTGCTTACTATCTATAGAGTGCCTTCTGTTTACTCGCGGAGCGCTTCTCTCGGTGTCCGTTCACATGAGAAGCGTAGAGCGACCCCGCGGGGCCAGGCGACTACGCAGGCGGAGTGACGTTTCCCCGTGTAAAACGACCTTTATCTTTCAGGTTACTATTTTAACAAGGCGCCCTGTCAAGTTGTCTTGTTACGTTAACATTTTGTGTTTCTCACCAAAATGAGACACGAATAAAAACGGCGAGCTGCTAAGCAAAACATTGCTCTATAGCCTCCCATGTGGTCAGAAGCTCCACAGGGTACCTTTAAGTTAGCCAAACTTTTTAGTATTTGTTTTGTCCTCTCAATTCCCACAAGGCAATAGAAATTACCAGGAAACCCAAGAAAACAAGTGTGCTTACCCAGTTCTGGTGAAAGATTAATAAATACACTGATCAGCCATAACATGATGACCGCCTGCTTTTTCAGCAGTTTGACCTACAGTAGCCTGTTGGATCAGACCACACAGGCCAGCCTTCGCTTGCCACATGCATAAATGAGCCTTGGCCCTGTCAATCCTTCTGCTTGCCCATCTTTTTCTGCAACTATAAGGACAAAACCTTTACTTGCTGCTTAATAGACCCCACCCACTGACAGGTGACATGGTAACGAGATCAGTGTTATACACTTCCCCTGTCGGTGGTCATAATGGCGCAGTGCACAGCTTGGAGAACACCTCAACATATATGTACACGCACACAGATACACACACGTGAGAGAGGTTAATACCTGATGGTGACATCAGTCTCCAATCCTTCGCCTCCAGCTTCCACTGCCTTCTCAAACGACATCACAGTATTCTCTGGAGCAAGCTATACACACACATACACAGTGAGACAAAAACATTCCCAGAGTCATAAATATTATCATAATAATAATAATAATATCATAACCGATGGAAATGATGAACAGTCTTAGTAAAAAAAACAGACTTTAAACAGAATTAAGACAGATCCAGCCGTCACGGTTCACTTCTGTCTCACCATTGGAGCTCCTCTGTGTCCGATGAGTGTTGGGGCGGGTCCCAGCGTTCCTGCCTCTTTAATGCAGGGCGAGTACATTCCCAGAGGGACCAGGTAGAGAGAGAACAGCATGGACAGGTAGAGACCCAGGACGGCCACCTGACGCACTGAAGAACACACAACACAAAAGGATATACTCTGAGGATGTAAATTCATATAAATACTTATCTTTTTTAATCACTAAATATAAGATGTTTCATTTAAAACAGAAGAAGTCTCTAGTACAGAGTATCCCTAAGTGTGCGCCCACTCATGCATCTGTTTTTACATAATATGCATGTTATTATTGGGGGTTGGGTGGCGCAGGGTGCCATGACAAATTATTTCCATCCCACTTTATATCTTTGTGAACCAGGGCTCAATGAATGGTTTGGGTTTTGAGTATGAAAATGATGTGAATGAAATGCTACTGCCTTTACAGCCACCAGATCTCAACCCAGTTTCACACCTATGGAAGATTTTGGACAAATGTATAAGACAATGCTCTCCACCACCACCTGCACAAGACCAATGATAAAATATAACTTTAATCTTCAAATCTTTTTAGTGATTGTATCTGATGCTATACGTCCTTTTGTCATGTCTGGCTATGTTTGTTTTTTCTTTTCTATCTGCTTCACTCAGGTCTCTCTTGCATGAGATTATCTGATTGAATAAAAGGTTTTATATAAATGAGGCATGATATAACTCCAATAGAGTTCCACAGACTTGGCGAGGAGCACTGCAGCTGTAGAAGGAGGCTCGTGGTGGCCTGACTCCATACTTCGAAACTTCCTTTAATTTGTCAACCATCTGTAGCTACCATTATCTGCTTATACCATTAAAACACAGGGTGAGAGAATAAGAAGGGATTATTATTTGCGACAGCTACTGCAATTAAATAAATCAATGACAGTGTGAAACTGTTAATGCTCTTTAATCAACATACTGTCTAGTTATATTGATTACCTTCTCCGCTTGGCTATAAGTCACCAGAGCATTAAAATAAAGTGAGAGAAGCCCTGCTAGGTTGGGGCCTTGCCTTGCAACAGGACCGCAATCGCCTCACCATCATTTAGTGTGTTATCCTCTGTATTTACTCATTTGTGTGCCATTTGTCTAGTCTATGTAAATTTTAATAAACTTAAAAAAGGTAAAAATCCTGCTTAAAGGTTCAGTGTGTAAGTTTTAGTGGCAATGTTATACTTTTCTCCATGAGGTTGTACCTAATATCAATTTAATTTCTAAATCCAACAACAAAAGGCTGTAAAAACTGTCAACATATGAACCTTGTTTAATATTCTTCTTATATATTTATATTTAGTATTCTTCTTATATATTTGTGTTCTGTTCTGTATACGTCTTTATGTACATTTTATTCCTCTTTTTGCAACAACACATGAATGCACCATCAGTCACTTCCCTCCCCTCCCTTTCCAAGCGTGCAGGAGAAGCTACGGTGGCCGACACGCTCCATCTGTGCAAAATAATACGCGTCGTCCTCCAATTGTCCAAATTTCACATCTCTTCTTACTTCTAATGAAACAGACTACTACTACTACTTCTTCTGCTTCGTAAGTATTCAACTTAGTGACAAAACGCACTCTCTGTAGAGCAGTTTCTCCACTTGGGCTACTGTAGAAACATGGCAGCACAACATGGCGACGTCCATGTAAGGGGAGCCGCGGTGTATGTAGATAGAAATGGCTCATTCTAAGGTAATAAATACATAACAGTTTATTATGTAAGGTCTTTATACACCACTGAAAACATAGTTATGGATATTATAATGCATTTCTGTCAATAGATCCTCTTAAATATTACACACTGGACCTTTAACCCAGCATCCTTCCCGTCTCACATTCCATTAGTGCTTGAATTCAATAAAACTTCAAAACTAACCCGCCAACTCTTTCCTTTCACATTCAAGCTTTGAAACTGTGTTTTCATCTCAATACAGTAGAACAGGGGAGAGTACATCGTGTGCTTTAGCGAGTCTCTCGCTTCTCTCCTTTATCTCCTGCCAGAAGAGACCCCCCGACATGACTCAGCATCACTTTACTCGCCAAATCACCGTGGCAACCAGGGACAGTACCCATGGAGAGCAAAAAAGAGACGTAGAGGTCAAAGCCATTCAGCGGAGAGGAAAAGGCAGTCGGACACACAATGCAAGACAGACTCAAAGAGAAGGAAAGCAGAGCAGCTACGAAAAGAAATAAGATTAAGAAACCAAAAAAAGAGTCAATGAAAGAAGACAGAAAGCGTCAGAGAGACAAAGAGAAGAGAGAGAAATTGAGTAAGAAAATGAGACATTGATTTTCTGTTAAGAGTAAGTGGAAAGAGTGAACGAAGTATGGCAGGGAGGTCTACAGCTGTAAAATCCCTGCCAGACAAGTGCGCCACGTTGCTGAGGGGTGTATTTGATTTCAGCGAGCGGGGCAGCTCAGTACTTTTTAGACCCTGAAACACTTCTCTGTCTGGCAGCAATCAGCAGATATGTCATTTCAACAAGGGCCCTCAGCCATTTCCTCCCTCCAGTTACTGCTGCTAGGGCAATGAGAGGTTGGTTGTGCTTGACACTTGATTTCCATTCTTCTTCTGTCTCTCTTTCCCAATAACACTCCCAAACATCAAGTATTTTGATGTACAAAAGGGTCCTGAAGGGTCTGGCTAAGCTGTTTGGGGGTCTGGATTTAGGTCAGGGGAAGTGAAACCGATCAGTTAAAGATCTGATAAACAGGTTTTGATTGTGTATGTATGTAAAACTGCATGCATTTAAACAACTGTTTACATGTCCCGTTTCGTTGTCCTGTTTACAGTTGTTGCCCAGTACAGCCTTGCTTAACAGCATCACAGCAAAAACTGTTTGAGGAAGGTGAGTGCATTTCCTTGTTTTTCTCTAAACGTTATATACTAAGACAAGGCATCAGCTTGCCTACCTTTCTTGTTCATGCGGAAGAAGTGCAACGCTATTGGCCAGGAGAGAATTGCCATTAGTGAGACTGCAGCCACATGGAGGAAAGGTGCTGTCACCTAAAGATGAGAACGAGGAAGAGAACAATGACATTTCAATCAAAACATAAAGTGCAAATTAATAATTGTTAAATAAATGTTTAAAATTCAATTGGCTAGTGTGTCAGGATTAACTAACCTGCAGGGAGAGAAGAAGAGTCTTCCATTCTTTTCTCCAGAGGTCAGACAGGATGGCGGTGGCAGTGACGGAGAACACCAATGACACCAGGATGCCAGTCTGCAACAACACAAACAATGAGAAAACTCAACATATGACAACTTAGGACGAGGGGGAACACAAAAATACAAAGAACTGTATGTCAGTGTTTGTGTTTATTTATTCTTTGTGTGTGTGATACCTTGTGGCTCCAGTGAAGGTACAGCCTCTGACCCTCAGAAAGCAGACACACTGCCAGCACCTGAGCAATGTTTAGATATCCATCAAACATTATTACATAAAGCTGTAACTCTCCAACAGTCAAATTCTTTTCTTTTCATGCCTTAGCAGATTTAAAAATAACACGTGGATATCTTGTCACAGCCAACAACAAGTCAAAGTTTTTATATGCCTCAGACTTTTCTGCTGTCTGTTCACTGTACAATTTTAAAAATGTTATTGTTCCAATTCCATCTCCTACTGTATGAAATTGTCTGCGATGTAAATTAACTTTGTTTGAGAGCTGTCTCTGCAACACACTCTCACAAGATCTGGCAACACATCTCTCTGTTGGCAGAGGGCGTTCAGAGGTTTTTCAGTTATGAGTAAGTTATATTAAAGTTCGTTATCTACCGATAACATCATGCACGCACAACCCAATATGTTTTGATCCAAACACAACAATAAGAGAGGCAAGAGGAGCGGCAACCACACAGAAGTATATACTATTTCATCCCATTGGTGCAACTTGCAATGTTTTATCTTTTATAGCATCTTTGGTAGAAGTTTGTTTGTTAGCAATAATGATAACAAGGCGGAAATGTGCTGCCTTGAGGCGCCATCCTATGTGCCAATTCACAGGTGGCTCTGCATTAACTTGCTGGAACCTGACAACATTTTTGACGTGTTACAAATTAGTTTGGGGCCAGTTGATCAACCCTCACTAACTCTATAAAAGAGTTGTGTGGCTCAAAAATCGTGTCCAAAATAGGCTCTAATCATACGGTAAAGTAAACTCAGATTTCTCCTTCACTTCATATGTGTTCATTTTTCTGTCTTACATAATATTTGTCACCTCAGGCAAGCGGATGAGCTCCTAAATGTCAGATAAGTGCTGGAATGGCTGATGCACTTGCACCTAATTAAAACAAATTGCTTCAAACACTCTGGTTTAGTGAGAAAAAGTGCAATAGGCTCTGGCTGAGAAAGTTCTTCTGCTTGTAATCGGGTGGTTAGTGGTTAGTGTTTTCCATTCACACAATGGTTTTCACAGCTAATCCAGGGATTTGAACCGTCAAACTTCGATCTAAAAACAACACCGCATATCTCTGTAAACAACTTACAAAGAGTGTATAATCAGACCTCTGAGTACTAGAGACTTTTTTCTTGTTTGCTTGTTATTGTCTTGTTGAACAAAGTGAATCAGTGAAGCATACCAGTAGTAGGGAGGTGTATGTGAAGAGAGTAGCAGCAATGACCAAAAGGACCAAAGACCAGGGAAACCAGAAACCCAAAGTCCCAAAGTTAAACCTGAAGAAGCACAAGAAAAACCACCAACAGATATGACATACAGTGTGCTCCATGTTGTGAATCAAGTTTGAATGATAGGTTGGTCCTGTCATACATTTATTTATTCATTATTAGGATGATCAATTCACTCATTCCTTTGTTAGTTGTTTATAAAAAAATTAAAAAAAACAACCCTATACCTCATCATGGCAACAAATGCCCTATAAAGTACAACAAAAAACATACGATAAGCAATAAGAGTGTGTGTGCAGTGCATATATATGTTCAGGTTTTTTTGTGTGTGACCCACCAGTCAAAGTCTATGTAGTCATTCTGAGCTTCACTCCAGAAATAAAGGAATAAAAAACTCAGGAAGAAGGTGAGGATCAGGAGGCCAAAGCTGCCACACTCCACCTGTAACACACACAAACACTGAAGTCATTTTTTGTCTTAACAAACTACCCACATTAAGCTCACCTATTTTAATGATTAATCACTACCTTTAAGTTTTAAAGTGAACTTTATTTTCCTCACTTGATAAAAAGGATTTAAAGTCATACTTGGGAGGCAAAACAGCAACTCCCTGATGCTACACAATCTGGCAGATACGGAAGAAGTCAATCATATTAGCGAGTGCATGTGGAAGCAGTATATTTTGACACAAGCTGACGAAGTATATATGTGCTGATATTAAGCAGACTGACTGTTGGAGTCAGCACGCGGGATGGAGGAGAACTGGCTAGGGAATCAATACTCTCTGCACGATCAGCAAACCAACCGAACTCAACTCACTGCTTATAGATGGTGCTCTGTGTGTGTGGGTGTGTGTGTGTGTGTACCTTGCTGCAGCAGCACTCTCCTGGCTGCGCCCGGGCTCTTTGATATCGTCTCCATTGGCAGCCATAGAGGCCAGCCAGACAGGAGACAAACGGCTGGTGTTCATACCTGGTACAGTCAATTAGGAATTAACCAATAAAGTAAACATCAGAAAGAGCGTTTACACAAAAAGACATTGAGCAGCATATTACCCGGTTAACAAAATGAGTACGTTTTAAAAACTGTCTAGACTTCTGGAGGAGCCTGTTTTATCGGAGCTGGGTGTACCCAAACTCTCTAGGCTCTGTGGCTGAGAGACCTCATATCAAATCTTTCATATCTACTTATGCTTTGTAATTTGAGATGTGCAAAACATTCAGATAGCAGATTGATCTGAAATGTGCTTTGTCATTTTGACACAGAGCTGACGCTTTTCCGGTGAACCAAACGGGCTGACTCATGTCAGTTTTAGTCCCAGTTAATCTTTCTTATCATCTTATTAATTAATAATTAAAGTAGCTTGTGAAAAACAATCTGAATTTCTTACCTTCTGCTTCTCATTTAATTTTCAAGTTGCATCTACAGTCTGTCAACATTCATTAGACTGATACTCAAAACTGTGCTTTTCTCTTTTCAGTAAACAAAATATACTGTTATAATAAAATCATTTTAGATTTGTTGCTGGATTCTGCTTTAATAAAATGCTACCAAACCCAACTCTACCACTGTGTTTCATAAACATACTGCAGTAATACCAATTTGAAAATAGTTATGATGATGAATTCTCTGTACACAAAGAATCACTGAGTGTCATCCTTCTGTGTAGACAGACAGTAGGCAGTTGTATTTCAGAACAGTTCTCCATGAAAATAGTACACAGCAAAGTTTTTAGATCATCCTGAGTAAGCAGGACATTGTTTTGAGAGAGATATTGCTGCTTTTCTTTTACAGTGTCATTTTCTGATGCTTTAAAACAAGTAAACTACATTGTATTAGGGTGGTGGCAGAAGCGATTTAATCCTCACCAACTCAAATATATTACTGTTATTATTATTAGTCATTTTGCTGATGTTTTTATCCAAAGCGACTTACAATTACTATATACAATGTCTCACAAAAGTGAGTACACAGCACACATAGTTGTAAATATTTGATTATATCTTTTCATGTGACAACACTGAGGAAATGACACTTTGCTACAATGTAAAGTAGTGAGCGTGCAGCTTGTATAACAGTGTAAATTTGCTGTCCCCTCAAAATAACACATCACACAGCCATTAATGTCTAAACCGCTGGAAACAAAAGTGAGTACACCCCTAAGTGAAAATGTCCAAATTGGGCCAAAAGTGTCAATATTTTGTGTGGCCACCATTATTTTTCCAGCACTGCTTTAACCCTCTTGGGCATGGAGTTCACCAGAGCTTCACTGGTTGCCACTGGAGTCCTCTTCCACTCCTCCATGACATGGTGGATGTTAGAGACCTTGCATTCCAACAGCCATTAATGGCTGTGTGATGTGTTATTTTGAGGGGACATCAAATTTACACTATTATACAAGCTGTACACTCACTACTTTACATTGTAGCAAAGTGTCATTTCTTCAGTGTTGTCAAATGAAAAGATAGAATCAAATATTTACTTCAATGTGAGGGGTGTACCCATGTTTGTGAGCTACTGTATATATATATATCTATCTCAGATGTCACACATCTCTGGAGCAACTAGGGTTTAAGTGTGTTGCTCATGGAAACATTGGTTGATGTTGCAGTTGGAATCAAACTCAGGTCTCCCACACTAAAGACATGCGTCTTATACACTGCGCCATCACCAATCATGTGGTGTAATGTAAACTATCTGCAAGGCTGGACACCACTAGAAGGGAGTATAAAATGTTTGTTTCATTTTGTGACATAAAGTCACTCCACACAGGCCATTTTAAACAACCGTCACTAACACTAAGTGTCGTCTTCAAAGCAATGGGAATGCCTGCACAAACTAATGAATGCTACACACAGTTACTGCAACAGCTTGCACAAGAACCAATAATGCAAGCAAAGACATTCATTATCATAGTTATAAGAATGTGGGTATTAAAGGGTATTAAAGAGAAAGAATTAATTCTGTTTACATTGGGGTGTAAGCCTCATCACTGATCGGTGGTGATGTGTGTTATTTTGTACCTTTGCAGCAGCTGCCGCCGCACCACCTTTAGCTTCCCCAGCTTCAGTCTGGTCACGGGCAAAAACTCACCCACAGCCCGGCATCACAGAGAGTGAGAGAGAGGCAGAGAGAGAGGGAGAGAGAGAGGGTGAGACAAAGAGAGAGGGGGGAAGATGAAGGGACAGGAGAGAGGGGATAGAGAGAAAAAAGATAGGGCTGTTGGCCACCACACTGCCTTCACCTAGAGGGAGAGAAGAAACTCTAAATCAATTTAAAATGTATTTATAGGAAAACTAGACTCAGCAGGGCTCTTTCTCTCTGTGTAAGTGAAGTCCTAGTTTTACCTTGAGGATACAGAACTACACAATGGCATACACCATCAGCTATAACATTATGACCATCTGCTAGTTTCCCATCTGCTAGTTTCCCAGTGCTGCCTTTCGCAAAGGCAGCACTGACCTGTCGAGGCATGGTCTCCCTCTGTGTATGCTCTGTGTGTTCTGACACATTTCTATCAGAAACAGCATCAACTTTTTCAGCATTTTGACCTACGGCAGCTCTTCTTAAGGATCAGACCACACGGGCCAGCCTTTAATGAGCTTTGCCCGCCCATGACACTGTCGCCAGTTCACCGATTTTTCTTCCTTAGACCACTGCAGACCGATTCAGAGATGCTCTGACCCAGTCATCTAGGTATCACAAATTGGCCCTTGTCAAAGTCGGTCAAATCCTTACACTTGCCCATTTTTCCTGCTTCTAACACATCAACTATGAGGACACACTGTTCACCTGCTGCCTAATATATCCCACTGACTGACAGGTGTCATGGTAACAAGATAATCAGTGTTAGTCACGTCCCCTGTCATTGGTCATAATGTTACGGCTGATCAGTGTATATCTGATATAACGGTACATACCCAAGTTGTGCGATTCTACATGTGTCCACTCAGGTGATATAAGACTTTACACACACACACACACACACACACACACACACACACACACACACACCTGCCTGTCCTATATGGTCTGTTTGTTTATACTGATTTATCATTTCATATCTTTAGCTGCCTGACTTTGACCAACTCCAGTAATACTATAACAAACACAAGAGCTAAAATAATTAGTAGATTTATTGATTATCTGATCAAAACAAAATCAGCAACAATTATTATTAAACAATTTGAATGAAAACATGGGCTTCTGGAAATTATCATAGACATTTGTCACTACTATTGTTGACATGAACCGATTTATTGATAAAATACCTGGCAGATTAATCGATAATGAACGCATTCATTAGTTGCGCCACACAAACTTCTTCCTTCCACCTGTGATAACATGGTTTATGATGTCATGCTGCCCATACTTTTTAAACTGTAAAAGTTTTACTTGGGTTCATAATTATGGTAATGTGTTGTTGATGACCCTGACAAAAAGCCACAAGCCAAAATGTGTTAAGTGTTTGCTTAACCTCATATTTTCAGACCTTAACTGAGACATTACACAGAGTATATTTTTTATTGATTTCTGTCACACACAGAAATTTATTTCTCCAAAAAAAAGAATTTACGTTATTTTCTTCAAGCTGTCCCATAAACACCTGAACAAAAACAACAACAGCAGCAGTGTGTACATCCACCGCTCCACTGAGCCAAACACCAAAGCTACGAGACAACAAACAGTCCATTAGCCGAACAGTAAAACAGGCCAATCAATCAGTCCATCAGCTAGTAAGTCAGACCTTTAGACCTTTAGAAACAGCCCAACTTGGCTTACACATCACATCAAGGTCCAACAGTGAGTTTGCAATGTGTAAATATATTCAGACAGAAACTTGGCTGTCACAACATCATCTTGTCAAGATAATCAAAGGAAATTAAAAGGTGAAATGAATTAGTGCGGCAAGTGAATATGACGTCTTCAGATGGCTCGATTTGTCTGACCAGCAGGCGAAACTTACATTTACAATTATATAAAATAGAAAGTAGCAAATCTACACATTTGAAATTTGTTGTCAATCAAATTTTAATTAAATCAATTAATTGTTTTAGCTATAAATTAAAATGTCACTTGATCTCAGCTTCCTCGTGTCTGTAGTTCTACTAATGGTGATCCTGATGTGTCCCAGACCCAGATAGGTGGCCTAAATCTGCTTAATGTAGGTCCAACAGCAGCTTTTAACAGTGTGCCTGGGTTAGGAACAAAGAGGTCAGCTTAACAGCTTAACACACACTCTCCATCATAAATACTCTATTGGCCGGAGTGTGAACTGGTTTGATCATAAGATGTGATGCATTATTTCAAAACAGAGAGGCAGATTACGAAGTGATGGTGAAAGTGGTTTGCAACATTGCTGTTATTTAACTCATGAGTAGATGTGCAGTGTGTGTGTGTGTGTGCAGTGTGTGTGTGTGTGTAACAGGATATAGTTGTATGGGTGATCCTGGTGTTTGAGGCTGACAGATGGTACACTGTTGTGTTGATCCCAAACACACAGACTGTTTTGCTCCGGCACATCAGGACTGAATAATAGATGCATGTTGTGTTTGTCTCTTCAATCAGCAACAGCCTGATAAGCAGAGCTCACAATAGAAACTCTTCCGTGAACATGAAATGCTACTAAATGACAGACGGATGACAGAACTTTGGGGAACCGCGCCGTCAGTGTCTGAAATTAACTTTTTTAGAACAAAGATTTTGATTCCAACAGTAAAGATAAAGTGCAACCTGCTCTCCTAAAACAAATCGGAGGCAGTGTATCATTAAACTACTTCACTACTGATGCTTTTTTGGACTCAACATGTCCTATTGTCAGTAGGGTTTGGTATCGTATAAATTTTATCGATTCTACTTATCCAATCTTGGTTCTGATTCCTTTACCACAAATCCGGTCAGAGCTCAGTGACCTCCATTATCTTCCTCCTTGCTCATCTCCCCCTATATGGCTAAAGTGAAAGGAGTTTAAATGGTTTTTTGGAATCATTTGTAGACATCATTCGTTTCTCTTCAAAATAAAAAGCTGAATGTGTCTCACCTGTGTTTTGTACCTGAGACGTTGCTACTGTGAGCGTCAGCTGTATCTGGGACGTCACTGTAGCTGGAAGAGCGCGACAAATTGAACACGGTTTGTTCCTTCATATTCACGCGGTGAAGTAAAAGCTTTGTCATATTGGAGCTGCTTCCTCCCTTAGACAAAATAGCCTTACTGCAGGTGTTGCATTTTGCTGCGTCGTTTTCTTTTTTTTTACTGAAACAAAGCCAAACTTTGGAGCTTTTCTCGCATGCTTTGTTGACGTACCGTGTAACCAATGACGTGATGTCAGGTCGGCATAGCAGGTCCTGACAGATAAGTGACACTTTCATGGACTGTAAAATGCTCAACGCAGTTCAAATCGGGAGCACCACTGAAATATGCAAAAAGTTAAAACCGATGAGCAGAACTGAAATGCATGCGTGTTAACGAATACATGGTTCTTGGATATTTGGTACTGGCTAAAACTTGGATTCGGTTCTAGATGTCCAACCCTACTTGTCAAGCCTGTTGGGATTGTCTCTTTTTTTGATTCTTCTTTTTAAACATGGAGTGGTTCTTGGGACACTCAAGACAGTCACAGGTTGGTTTTCACCAGTGAGGACCTCTAGTGTAATGACAATTACACTATTTGATACTTAGCAGTATCAAATCTGTTCCATCATCACGGTTACTGATAGTCCCACTTCAACTCTTCTCTACATTTAATCTTCATTAAACATGCAACCTTAACATTAAGTTCTGAAATACTCTTATAATACTTATAGTACATAATAGTCTAGTTTGCACAGCCTATAGTTTGATCCAAATCCATGTAATTTTAATCTGCTGTGATTATTTTCTGTTCTTTTCTGGTATAATAGTCAATGTATTCGTTTCAATTCCATTCTAGTGTATGCTATGTAATACACATTAACTGTATTATATTTCATTCTAGCATATCCTGTAAAATTAATTTTTGTTCAATTTAGTTCTATTTTGTCTCTTTGACTGAAGTCAGCCGCTCGATGACCAGGCCAGATCAACCAGCCAAGTCATCGCATGGCTGCCATGGCATCTGGGACATCAGATCTGTTATCATTACTGCTGTGAAAAGGATGGAGGGTGGCGGGGTAAACAAGAAAGAACCAGGTGCAGTAATAAAAAGGGGGAGATTGAAGAAACGACAGACGGAAAACGCGAGAGAGGAATTATCTTCAGGATTAATCAAAGCCCTTAGGCGCTAAACACAAAACCACACATATTTTGCAGGGTAAGAGAATACTCTCTTTACACTGTCACATACACACTCACAGTGAATACATGCATCTTAGCGTGTGCATATAGCAGCATGAAGTAGTATGAGACATAAAAAATTCAGAAAAAAAGATAATTACACAAAAACAAAGTGAAAGAAAGAAAGACGATGTGTGTGAGTGACATTCAAGCAAAAAGTGAGGTAGCTGAAGTCTCGTCAGCCTGCAGACAGGTCTAACCTATGATTGTGAATGGGAATGATGACTGCAGGAAAAGACAGCATGTGAGAGTTGATAAAAGTAGATTTAGAGACACATGAAAGATGTGGAAGGGCAACCCGTTCTAATCCCAGGGTGTCAAACGGACGCTTAGTCAATACTCCTTGGCGTCGCCCCTGGTTAACCTTTAGCGTTGCTTTTGCATGTGCAGGGCTCTCAGGTCAAGTTAGCAATGATAAATATGCAAAGTTTGGTCAGACTTTCAAAATAAACTTGTGGTTAACGTTGTAAAATGTTGCATTTTGGTTATGTTTAGGCACCAAAACTATGTTGTTAGGTTTAGGAAAAAAATCAACGATTTGGGTTAAAATAACTACATTACTTATGTTTAACTTGTGTAAGTTACATACCTTAACTAAAAACAAACTTTTTGTTTCACACAGGAAACAAACACCAGTCTCCTGGGTGACAGTCTGGTTTCTAATTTAAATTCTTAGTTTTATTTGACCAACAGTCCAACTCAAAAACATATTAAATGTATTATGATGGAAGACAAAGATGAGCATTAAGATCTCACATTTAAAAAAGGATCTGGACCCAGTATTAATAATTTTT